CCTACAAAGTTACGAAAAAAATAATAAAATAAAACTTTGATATGCTAAGTTAACTCTTGAAATTTGACAAATTCTATTTTCTGGGTGTTGGCATTGGTTTTGTTATTGTTGCTGTTGTTTATTTCATTTTAATACAAGGTCACAAAGTGCAGCCTAGGTGGGCCTCAAATTCACTATATAGCTACAGATGACTGAATTCTTGATCATCTGTCTCAGTCTCCAAACTTCTGCTATTACAGGCATGTGCCACTATGCACAGCTCAAAGGAATTAACACAATAGATTACTGCACTCATTAGTTAATATCATAAATAAAAATGTAAACTTTTGGTATCAATCACATTGTATTTTGAGTGACAGAAGACATATGAGAAGTCTTAAAATGCACTTAAAAAAGATGTATATTCTGTGAAAATCACATCAGGGATATGTGCCTTCACTTTTTTTAAAAGCAGCAATTATTAGATTATAGTCACAGATAAACTCAGGGACAAATACCATCCAAGGCATCACTCATGTTACTGGAAGAAGTTGTTTACTCAGCACCATTGACTTTTTATTGGTAGCCTGCTGAGAGCAAGAATTGGGCTGCAAATCCAGGATGCCATGTCAGAATCCTGACTGGTGTAGAGAGAGCAAATATGAAAGGCCCAGATGCTGAGGGAACAGTAGCAAGAGGTCACACAGTTCAGAGCATTGGCCCCAATGGTCCAATTTAGACTTGGCAGATGAAGTACCATAAAGCTCTTCTAGTCCAGTACTTCTCAAACTTGAGTTGCTTCAGAATCACCAGCAGAGTGTGTTTGAATACAGATGTATGGCTCCCTCCTTCAAAGTTCCCATTTAAGTCAGACTTGGAATTCAAGGTTTTCCATTTCCTTAAAACTACCTTGTGGTAGACACACTGGAGCTGCATAATCGTCTTTTTACTGTCAAGAAAATAAAGCTCACAGTACCTGCCATGCTGAAAGTGTCCAAAAGGTTACTTTTGTTAAAGTGATGGCTCCAAGACATTCTTTGCTGAATCACATGGGAACATGCAGTTCAGAAACTATTTCTTCCCTGCTTTGATGCAATAATATTCAGGAATGACTTAGCTAGGCAACAGACTTAGTAAACAGCCACTTCTTGTATGGAATCTTCATGTCTCATTCCAGCAATTCATTTAAAATTGTTGGAGGTATACTTCCACAGTCTTGACTTACAAAACACTCACTTGAAGTGATGTAAAAATTGCACTTGACATCCCAGCAATTAGTGTGGTTTGTTTTGTATGGGATGTGGGAGCAGGTTGTACCTTTGGAAGTCACAGGACAATTTGTGGTGGTCACCTCTACCAAGGGGCTTCTGGGAATTGGAATCAGATGACAGAATTTGGTGGTAAGCATCTTTACTTCTATATGCTGTCTTACTGGACCTGACTCAGAATTTTTGAGATGATGAAAAGGTTCTAAGTTAAATATCCATCGGATTACATAAATGTCTCTATTATCATTTTAATTTATTCACATTTTCTGGAAAATATTGAATTGGGCTAAAAGTTATTAGGGAATATATAGACCAAACAAGAATAGTAGAGCAGCAGCCATTGATAAATCTAGACAGATGACACAAAGTAGTCATTGGACTATTCAATTTAATTTGCATAGATAGTAAATAAGACTACCAGCAAATAACTTCTAGGATTTTTGTTTGTTCTATTTTGCTTCATTGGAGTTTAATCACCCTTAAATTATAACAGAATTCCTAATCATTGATCAATGGTCTTAAATTAGTTCTTCTAATGGTCATTTACCTTGACAGTGTTGAAGAATATCAAATTAGATACTATTTTGTTTGTTTGTTTGTTTGTTTGTTTTTGTTTTTGTTGGATTTTTTTGCTGTATAAACTATTATTTGTGTATTGATATATTTACAAATCTACCACCTGAAGTCCATACCAGAAAGAGCAAAATACTTGTAGAGGATTATTCTAAAAACAAACAAAACAAAACAGTGAAACCTGAAACTGTAAGACAAAGATACTGAGCAAATTTAGAGAGAAAGGAAATACATGTGTTAGAGCCACAGATGTAGACCACTACATTTACTATCTTTTTCTTTCCTTTCTGCTACATTGTGCTTTGAATGAAGAAAAGGACAGATCCTTCCAACTAGCATTATACTTGCAAAAGCCATTTTCATTCAGTACCTACTTAGATGGCATTGAGAAACAGTACATAATGTTGTTCATCTTTAGATTTAACAAGTCCAATATATGATTGCACCCTCAATAGTTAAACAGTGGTTCACCTTGTGAGAATATAGGCAGCATTTCCTAGCACTATTTGAAAATGTACTCTAAGCTTAGTGGTGTTTGAGGATATTTGATCACATTGTGAACACAGAGTTTAAATTTGTATTAATTAATAAAATTAACCTTGGGTCAGGAGACTGAGTTAGCACCTAGTTGACAGAAAATAATCCCAGAGCATCAGAGCACATCTGGAAGACAAAGGAGTAGTAGGGAGGGGTTTGGAGTGGCACACGATCGTTTTGTTATTGTTGTTGTTGTGACAGAGTGAAAGGACACTACTTTTGAGAGACACCAGCAAGGAGAGAAGGTTAACTAGTTGATACTCAACCTTTCTGAGCTAGCAGGTTTTCACCCCAGCCTTTGAGTCTTGAGTCTTATTTATAAATAGAATGATAGAGATTTATTTAAAACTACCTTTAGTGACAGTGATGGAGCTGGTGCATGAAGGAACATAATTCCTGCAAGGCTGTCGCCTGACTAGCCAGAGCACAGCCAGAGAAGCAGGCTGGTAACTGCAAAGTTGCAATTGCTATCTGAAGTATCAGTAGATTAAGGCACAGCCACTGTGCCAAAGTTAAAACAACAGAATGGTGGCTCATATCTGCAAATCAGAGTTTTAAGAGGAAGAGGCAGAATGACTACCACATTATGAGGCTCGCCTAGGCAATCTAGAAAGTTCAAGGACAATTTCAGTCTACAGAGTAAGGCCCTGTCTCAAAACCATCATATATTCTAATGGAATGCTAGAAATCTCAAATCACTTGGCAAATGACTCAGTCATAATTACTGCAGATGAGAATCATTGAAAATTTCTCAAATTTTGGGGGCAGTGGTTTAAAAAGAGGTTATTTAAAGTTTATTAGCACTGCCATACAGGGTAATGACAAAGGGAACTGACAGCAGAGAAAACTGTCAAACACCTGCATTACTGAAGGACCAATAGCATCATGGGAAGTGAGACCCATCAGCAACAAGTTCCTTCTGATGGGCACTCCAAAGGATGGCATGTTTTCTTCAGTATTTCTACAAAGGCCATAGGCATGATCTAGAAATTATAAAGTACTTGACAAGCTGACTGGGGGAAAGCTACAAAACAACAGGTCAAGTTACAATGCTCTCTCTCTCTCTCTCTATATATATATATATATATACTTTGATAATATCACAGAACAGTGTGACTGAATGAAAGCTGGAATTCAAGATTGAAGGCAACACCATATACAAACAAACAAACAAGAACAAAACTAATGAAGGAATTGGAGATATTTTATATTGTCTGTAATTGGTGAGTGAAATTATATGAATGTTATTTTACTTGCTTTGATAATTGCATTATGGTCTGCATAAAGAATGCAGATTCTGTACATACCTTGGCAATACTTTTGGCTTAAGTTATTTCAGTATTAAATAGAAAAAGCATTCTGAGAAAACTTAATACTTTGCCCAGAATTTTGCTAGATAGGCCCGAACTCTGCATTTGCAAAACAACCCAAGACAAAAAAACTATTAAGGATAAATGTTACCAACTAGACATCTTATCAAAGAAAGCAGAGAGCAGAGAACTCATAAATTGTCTGCTTTTGCTAACCTCACAGTCCACTAATTTTCTACAGTCACTTTTCGAAGCAGAGAAATTATAACACAGGACCAGGAGGGCAATTACAGATAGACGAACTGGACTGTGATCTGTGATCCTACAGAGTATAGACAGACAGCTACTATTCTAATTTCAAACTTCCATGATAGGATAAGAAACTACACAAAGTACAGCTCCTTGAAACTACAGAAAATTGACTAAAGTAGAAGACAAAGCTGTAATCAGTTGACTGAGTAATTTATTAAAATAGAGTTCTGGAGAAAGTTAATAAGTAATTAGTAAAGTTAATATGTATAAAAGAAAAGAAAACTAAATTTGAATAAAATTATTGTGATGTGTTTTGTAATATTTTGAAGAAAGAAAGGAGAATGTATGAATCATCACATATTTTGTGTGGCTTAATTACTAATTGAATCAATGTGGTTAGTGGAGTGGCCTTGCTCTGAGAAGGGGTTAAAGGTCAGTCCCATCAGCCTAAGTGTATGAACAGACTATACGTCAATGATATGCTGGGCAGGAATGTAAGAACACTGTGGACATCTATCATAGCGACAGTTGTCCTACCTGTATATCTCATGTTCCCCACTGTGTAGAACACACGGCTTCCAAAACACAGAAGGAGGCTTAAGATAAAGATAGTATCTGTCAGCTCACAAAAATGAGCCAATCCAAGGAAATTTCATCATAAATAATTCCCAGCGTCTTCCCCTACTGCTGTTCAACTAGCCTCTGGATAGCCTTAAACTCGAGACTCAGTTATCATATCAGACCCAGTGCAGCAGTGACAACCAAGAGTCCCAGGTGTTTGTTGGTGTATCCAAACTACATGGAATGTCTCCCAATCTCAGATTGAATTTACATTATAAACTAATCAGTAATAACATATGTTTGCTGTCCTTCATTAGCATACATTATTGAAATGGCAACCTATTATAGATATCTAGAAATGCTTTATTCTAACAGATTGGTAGTACATATTTTTGAATAAATATTCACTTTAAAAAACTGGAGCATTTAGAATTATTTTATCTTTTATTATCTATTGACTAAATTAGGTAGCACACACTTACAAATCATGTCTATATGAGGATTACAAGAAGGAGCTTACCAAGACTGGGGTACCCAGGTGTGGAAGGGTCCCCTCCTGGATTCAGTGTCACCATAAAGGTCTCAGCGCTAAGATCTCCAGACTTTGGTATATCACAAGGATCAGTGTAGAGAAGAGCACCTCCAAAGCCAGCCTTTTCCAATAAGGAAATCTAAGTGGAGAAAACACAGTTGAAAGCATTTTACACATTAGATGTTCACATGTCACTGCTTCTGTATTGTGGGTAAAATAAATAATTCACAATTCTTTCAATATTTTTTAAAGTCACTTTCATTTTCTGTTTTCCAAAATTTGAGCTGTGAACTATTGTTCTATTTTACTTTTTGTCATTTTGATAAATATTATTACCAAAAGCAACCTGAGGAGAAGAGTTTATTGGCTTTGTGGTAGTTTGAATGTAATTGGCCCCCATAAACTCACAGGGAGTGGTGCTATTTAGGAGATGTGGCTTTTTTGGAGTAGGTGTGGCCTTGTTGGAGGAAGTGTGTCACTGCTGAGGTGGGCTTTGAGGTCTCATATCTGCTCAAACCACACCCAGTGTGAAACCTCTGAAACTATAGGCAAGCCCCAGTCAAATGTCTTATATGTTAGTTTATAAGAGTTGCCATGGTCGTAGTGTCTTTTCACAGCAATAGAAACTCTAATTAAGATAATCTTGCAGTTCCACATCACCAAGTGATTTCAGTGCCAGAACTCAAGACAGTAACCTAAAGGGAGGAATTGAAGAAAGGAGGCTGTGGAGGAACACTGCTCACTTTCTTCCACTGGCTTGCTGGGTTGCCTTTCTTATAAAGCCCAGACCCATTTGCCCAAGGATGGTAATGCTTCTGCAGTGGGTTGGACTCTCCTTTATTGATTAGCAATTAAGAAAATATCTCAGAGATGTGTCCATAGGCCAATCTTATGGAGGCAATTCTTCAGTTGAGATTTAAGTAAGTCGAGGTTTATATCAAGTCAACAAAACCTTATCTACTAATTATCATTAGCATATAAAACAGTGTGGATGGTAGATGGATGGATTTTCTTGTTTTATTTTTATTTTAAATATGGCATATTGTACTTATTCTTTGGAAATAACATACATACAATGCATTTGAATAATATTCCCCAATCCTTCCAACTCATTCTTGATTCCCTGTCAAGTCCCCTTCCAACTTCATGTCCTCGTTTTTTGTTTGTTTTGTTTTGATTTAATTATGTATCACTTACTGAGACAAGTTAGTGCTGCACATGTACACATGATTTTAGTTTCAGGTCAACAACTGTAGCACTGGGCAACCCCAGCTGCCCTGGGTTCACAATGCAGTGGTTCTGATGTGTTTAGAAGATACTCTTTCATTCCTCCCTGACCTTTGGCTTTTATAATCTTTCTATGATGTTTTCTAAACTTTAGGGAAAGAGAGTGTGATATAAATGTCCTTTGCTGTGTTAATGTATGATTTCTTTCTCTACTACAAACTTTCTCATTCTCTCTCTTCTTTAATTGTCCCAGGATTGTCTACTTACATGAGGATCCCCCACAGAGTTCTGCTTTTAGATGATTGCTGTTCTACCTAGTCTTTTGTCCTTCTCCAGAGCAGAAAGCAGCCCAGTATGATAATGCCCTTTCTCCAGAGGCAAGTCTGTCCTATCAACTTAGAATGGGTAAGCTCTTCTCATGCTATTTGGAAAATAGAAACTGCAATGAATCTTCCAAGATCCTCCTTGATATTATTCATGTTACATGCTCAGCCCCACCTGGGAGGGTGGGCAGTTAAAGCATTCTGAACAACCTCGTGAAAGGCCTGAATTTGAAGAGTCCTTTCTTGTCTGATCCTGCCAGGGAATATTCGAAAGCAGCCCCAGGTTACCTTCTTCAAGATGTTTGATGGAAGGATTTATGCTGTTATTTAAAAGTACACAATTTATAATTACAATGGGAAGATGATCTTGACATTTTTCCATGTTCTAGATTTTTTGTTTGCTTAACTGATTTATGTTCATTATGCACCTTAGAATGATTTAATATGATGTAAATAACAATAATCATGATTTGTTGCTTCTATTTGTCTTCCATCAGAAATAAAAGTAATTAGAGGGCATTAAAGCAATAAAAGAGAGTAAGATTAACACCTATATTGAGTGTAGATTGTTATTACTCATCCAGAGATGTGACTTAGCATTTATACTTTACTTTCTGATTATTGCTCATGTTGTTACTGAACTGTGCACTGGACTAAGGACAGTCACTGTGATCCTGACTACAGCCTGCTGTGAATGTGAGGATCCAGCTTCTTCTCTATACCACAGTTCAGGTTCATATCATGGATCCTAGTAGGCAATCAAGAGTATTGGCATATAACATTTTCTGTGTGAAGAAAATGTCATGGGTGTGGCATAACATCTATTCCTAAACAAACAAAGCCCAGCAAAAATACTTGGGATATTCTTTCTTAGTATGTACTGAAAAGATAAAGAATGGAAACACACACACACACACACACACACACACACACACACACAAACACACACACACACCACACCACACAACACACCACATACATATACCACACCATACACACATCACACACAAACACCACACACACACACACACACCACATGCACATATATCCTAGTTTGCTTTTTGCTGCTGTGATCCAGAGGAAGGCTGCTTAAGGGATGATTTATTTCACTTACAGGTTATAGTTCATCATGCAGGGAAGCCACCGCAGCAACTAAAGGCCAGAAACTGCATCCATAAACATGGAGAAACTCTGCTTACTGATTTGCTTTTAGACTTACATTCAGCTACACCCTATGGCCCTTGGTCCAAAAGTGGCATCTCTAACCTTGTCTATGCACTCCCACGTCAATCCATAATCAGGAAGATGCAGACAGACATGACATGCCCAAAGACTAATCTGAAGAAAGCAGTTAATCAGCTAAAGGTCTCTCCCTTCCAGGGGTGTCAAGTTAACAACCAACATCAGCCCTCACACAAAGAGAACATTTTGTGAAAATAAGATGAAAATACTGACATAAAATATAAGTATGGCATTTTAATGTCATTTTGTAGAAATGTTTTCTACTTTATAATTTTGGACATAATGAACAGTGATGTGTACTGTTTAATGAGAATATAGTTGACACTGAGAACCCAGAAGGAAACCAATTGCCTTCCTTCTACAGCAATCCACTCAGATAAGACAGAACCCTCTGTTTCACCTTCTTGGCTTCCTGGAGAGAAGGAAGAAGCTTCAGGGGAGATGGGGGAAAGATTACAGGGGAAAAGAACAAAGAATATCCGAGTAAGGGATCAGAGTTAAGGTTGGCATCTCAAGTTCACCACTGAAATCCTCTGGGAGAGCTTTGAAAGCCTTCATAGCTCAGGTAGCTATTCTTAAAAAGGATGGGGAAGGGCTGCTTTTGAGCATTCTTGGTTTTTTTTTAATTTATTTATTTTTAACTATTAAGACATTTTCTATTCCTTTTACATACTAACCACAGATTCCCCTCTCCTCTCCCCTGTCACCCCCCCCACAGGTCTTCCTCCCCAACCCATTCTCACCTCCTCCAAGGCATTCTTGTTTTTTAGAATATATTGAGAAACATACACCTCTCTTCTAAAAACAATTACTTTATGTTAAAGCGATTTTAGAGGTAGTTAAAACTACCACTTTAGGTTAGTGTGCTCAGATTTTTGGCGCTGCAACAAGATGTGATCCTTTACAAATATCTACTTGTGAACTGCACAATATAGTTATGACAACTGTAACAGGATTTCATAATATTTTAAGTAAAACTATCATTTTTATTGGACTGCATTAATAACTATCTTAGGTCACATGTAGATGACAGACTAATATTATTAAACAGTTTTTTAATCATTTCTTAATATATAATAAACATTTATATATGTTGATAAGTTCTATGTAATTTCCATACCTATTGTATATATTATATGAATAAAACTATGTCAAAAGGATATAAACTGTTATTTAAACACTTTATTACAAATAATATTTCATTTTATATTGAAATAAATACCTCTGTGGATAAAATTCTGTACAAATATATTTTGTGAAATGCATTTTCATAGCTTTAGAACAAAACATTCTTGTTTTTATGAGTGCGATGGGTAGTCTTGGTTGTCAACCTGATTACATCTGAAATTAACTAAAACCCAAATGTCTGGGCACATCTGTGAGGCATTTTTTTCTTAATTAAATCATTTGAAGTAGAAAGATGAACCTCTTTCTTTCTTTTTAATTCCAATATTAATTTATTCTTTTATTTGCGCAAGTTCCTTCTACCCTGCTCCTGAGTTTCCCCGGGTAGAAAAGAAGCAACTAAGAAAACTGATCGTCTTCCAACTTTGGCATTTTTTTCTTTGAACAAGATTTTATGTGGAAGTTTGGCTGGTGATACTTGGATGACAGACTTTGGCTCTACTGCTCTCTGTCACGAACTCAACAACTCAGATACACAGGGACAGACGGGAACTGTTGGCACCATGTTCAAGCCTGCTACAGGACGTTTGCACATGCGTTTCTTTCCATCTACAACACTCTTCTCTAACTCCTCTCTCTCTCTCTCTCTCTCTCTCTCTCTCTCTCTCTCTC